CATTGAATCTCAATAAAATCAATAATATTACTTGTCAGTACCCCATTAAAATCCCCAATAAAATCAATAGTATTACTTGTCAATACCCCACGGTCATTAGCGTTGGATCCAAGGCGAAAGACATATCAAGCGCAACTCATAGAAAAGGTTAACTTCATTTAATATTAAGAATCCTGTAATTTCTGTATATTACAAAAGTTCATATCCAAAATACTTATGAACTAAAATAGTATTTGTATCACTAAACAATGTGAAACATACTCTTATTATAAAACACTATGAAATATGATATATGAACTAACCATGAAACATAGGCAATGAGGGCCTTTAATAGCATATGAACGCAACGTTATTTAATCAAATAAATTCATCAAGAAAACTGTATACATATACGTATCAGTGGTAGACTAAATAATAAACCCCAAATTATAACCGAAATGATAGAAAAATAAATACAGAATTTCCACTTATCTCCTGGTCCATGCTATTCAAGGCTAACGTTGCCGCCTGTGACATGTAGTCCTATGAAGCCAAATCTCTGCTGTTCTAGTAAAGTAGATGAGGTGTTCGAACCCCAAAATGGCGGTTCTTCGTTAAAGAGGAAGTACATAATCAATACCAGTCAGGAAAACGCTAGTACTAGGCAGTATCTTCACTACCAAACAGCTGCAACGTACCCAGCAACAGTAGCAAGCAATACCGGTACCAAACAACACCGGTACCAAGCACCCTAAAATGTACAAACCTAATTACAATCTGATAACCTAAATCGATCCCGCCCATTTTTCTCTTGAAAACTAATGTGAATTAATTTAACCTCCCAGAGGGTTGAAATTATTGCCTGTCTAAGTAAAGACTATTCAAGCAAAGTTCCCAATAAAAAAAATGAACCAGTAAAACTATACAGTATAAACTGTTCCCCATATTCAACCCCCTTAAAATCTGAAAGAATCTGTTATTAAAAATGAATGGGTAGCAATATTTACAATTTATCAAATAAGATACAAATAATAAAACCAACCTCTATTCCGGAAGGTGTCTAACTACGCGTTAACCAACTTCAAAACGTATCATCAATGCTTCCCATCAAATAGAGACACTTTTACTAGAGTCCCCACGCGGGATGATATACAAAATCATATAAAAAAAGTAAAAAGTCTCTCAGTGAATTTTTAGTTCAACACCGCCATTAACATTCCCTGTTGGAAAAGAAAGATGAACCTCCAAGTGTTACAAATTACGCCGTTCGTCGCCCCCTATGAAGCCTCGACCGCGCAGAATCACTTCAAAGAAAACCCATTAAAACCAATCGCCGCTGCTCGATCTCTAGAAATTATTGTTGGTTACACTGTGCGACTAATGACATCCTTCATCTGCTAAAATGCGACCATTCGCATTCAGGCTGACAGCTCTGTTAGCGCTGCTCGACCAATAAGAAAACCCAAAAACATGCCCATGAAACGCGAACATCGCCCAACAACCACTCCTTAGTTCACGAATCGCTGGCGTATGAATCGTGGTCAGACATACGACGTCTTTTGATCCTCCGTCAAATAGAGAGAGAGAGAGAGAGGCATTTCCTAAGAATCACTTATCGAACAAAGATAGACATCTCGAAATGCGACAGACATACTTCATTATTCAGAAATGACATCCGACATCAGTTTTAACCTACAAAATACCAAAAACATTGTAAACAATACCTTTACGAGTGAAAAGTATTATTGAGAATCATAGTGAAATTCAGTATAACCTTGTAAAAACTATGTGAGCCCTAAGGAGGAACATTTACCACAGTTACGCTAAATTCCGTTTGAATAAACGCTGTGTTTTCTCGAAAATATAATAAAGTTCTACGACAGGAGCATATTCAAGGTAATTTCTAGATTATAAGTGAATTCTCTGCTAGTTTTGAGACAGAAATGGGCGATAAGGCATAACGTTCGATTAAAACCGTTACAAACTAATAAATAATACCTACTCTTTGTTTCTTGTTAATGTAATAAAAAAAAATGCTCGCTGCGAACCTTTTGGCATTATCCTAATCTAAAATAGAAATGCTTCTAACGTTACTTAACATCTCAGGCGTGCACGATCTAATCGCAATCGTTATTCACCTTCTTAAGGCAGCTAGGTCGAGAGGTTTAGTTTTGTATACAATACTTTTGACATATCCGCATAAGAAAAAATCTAATGATGTCAGTTTAAGGGATTCTGCTGGCCATTCCATCGATCCGCGCCTCCCTATCCACCGATTTGGAAATGCTCGATTAAGGTACTACACAACATTGATTTGGTAAAGGGGCGGTGTTCCATCTAGCTGAAATTATATCATATTCGCTAGAACTCGTGAGTTTGCTGGATCGGGAAACCTGTTCGTTAAAGTTGGCACGACATTATTTTGGAGCAGTGCTAAATAATTATCGCCATTCAAATTGTCATTAAAAAAAAAGGGACCTATAATATTAATATGTTTAATGATATTGAAGTTAAGCCAAGGTGGATAGCTTTTATGTTTACTGTTATTGATAAATATCGATACACATTGATCAAATACATTATAAAGTTTACCGTAAAAATATGTACAGTCCTCTTCGGCATTTTAAAATTCTTCCATACAAGTTCAATCAATACTAGAGATCAGGTTATGGAACATTGAAATGTGCTTTGCAAAAGTTGCAAAATTGAGTTTACAAGAAATATGGCAGGATGATGACCGCTCTTATTAATGAGGTCATCCAGACAATGTTTGGATGACTATTTGAAAATACTAAGCCCAGCAGTTTATCGTGTGAATTATAAACCCTGTTAAATTGCATAAGATTTAGGATTTCAGAGAAATTAATTAAATGTCTTGTGTAGTTATTTTATGTTAGATTTTTTTAAGAAAAGATGCAATATAAAAAGATTTTTAGGTAATCCCGCTAAGGCTCGGTGACTCCATCAAGAAAGGTCCATCCAGCCAGAAAAATATTCGTAAACATTTATCGTCATCAGACTGAATTTTGCAGTTTTAAAGGTAATACCTCCGGGGGAAGACCTCGTACAATTCGAACTGTGGCAGTTGAAGAACCTGTCTCACTTACGGTTGAAGAGTATTCAGCAACTGATACGCGAAAAATTGGTAGGGAATTAAATATTTGCCATAAAATGATATGAACATTTTTAAGAGACTCTTTGTTGTATTCTTGTCACGTACAAAGAGTTCAGGTACTTCTGCCAAAAGATTTGACCGCCTACGCAATTTTTTAAATGGTATCTTTAGAGACTTGCAGGAAATCTTCACTTTGATTTCATCATTATGTTAACGGACGAAGCGCTTTTTTCCAGAAATGCCATAATTATTTGCCATAGTAATCATATCTAGGCACAAGAAAATCCTCATGCTATTACAGATACCATTTTCAGAATCAATTTTCTCTTAACGTTTGGATCGGTATTATAGGTGACTATGTGATTGGACCAATTTTCAAACCATGACGACAATCTTACTGTAATTTTTTACAAAATAAAATGCCTTTACTTCCTGAAGATTTTCTTCTTCAGTTACAGCAACAGCATTGGTTTATACATAATGGTGCAGCCTACTTTAGCATATATAGTAACTATTTAAAAAGAGCTTACCAAAATCGTTAAATATGTCGTGGAGGACCACAATTCTGGACACGTAGATCGCCCCACTTTAACAGCCTAGAGTTTTATTTATATTCACATTAAAAATCATTGGATTATGTTATACCAATCGAGATAGTAAAACAACTAATAAACAGAATTGTTGATGGATGTAAAACCATACGTATCAATCATTGAATTTTACAAAAGAATTCGTAACTTCATGAGAAGAAGAGCAGAAGCCTGCATAGAAGTGGGAGATGGTTATTTCCATCATTTGTTGTGAAAATTTTGGAAAATTTTCATTTTTTTTGGTTTGTTAAACTTTAAAAAATGACATATAAATAAATTTTGTACAACGATTAGAATTATCTTGATTTTATTTTTACAATTTTTCGACATACAATAATGTGATTTATATTTTTTTCCTCGAACACGAAGTAAAATACGAAAAAATATTAAAAAGCAAAAATGTTGTTTTTTAGCTGCTTAATCCGAGACAGTAACGTACATTTTTTTTACAATATTCGTGAGACTGCCCTCGCGACGCCACTAGATTTCATAATTATATCTAGTTAGTATTAACTTTTTACAACAAAGAATAGTGTCAAATGTCAACAAAATTGAAAAAATGATATTTAAGATATTAATAACAAAACTATTTTTTCTAAAAATTTGGACACCCTGTATCTTGAAAACCAATTTTTTTTTAGAACATTTGCTTGTATAAACTTTTCCACTTAAACTTGGAATACGTAGGTATATGCCCTTGTAAGTACGGCCTATCATTGAATAACACCCTGTATATTGATGTTTATATACCTATGCATTATTTATAAGGAGTGGACCAAAGAGAATAACTTAAGTATCTTTGAAATAATGCTTGTTATTTTTGAACACCTAGAATAGGCAAACATAAAATTTCCCTATAATCCGAACTTTCTCCATTATTAAGAATATCAAGTCAATTTAATTTTATCCTATTATTTTAATATATTATTTAGTCAAACATCTATGAGAGTCTGGTAAAAATTAAAGTACACAAAAAAACCAATTTAAAATTGTCGCAAGGGAAGAGAGTCGCAAATTTTAAGGATATTAATTGAAATACATATAGAAAGCTACAACTTAGTGACAGTATCGACACTTTTTTAATTAAAAATTATGTTAATCAATGATAAGATCCCACCTGTCAAAAAGTAAAATTTATTCATAATGAGAAATTTATTTCCTATCAATCACTGCCTTATTTCTGAAAATTGTTAGGTTTTAAGGGTTGCCTAATACTTAACGAAATATTGATCCTTTTGTTTTATTGGTTTAATCCCGATAATAATATTAAAAAAAGTTTTTTCTTTCCTAATATTACTAAAATAGTTTTTGTTTTCAGGGACAAAAGGAGAGAATCATATCAATTAAAAAATTTGAAAATTGCAGAGGAAGACAAAATTGGACAATGTCATGGCAGAATTTCAGGATAAACTATAAAAAAGACACGAAAGAAACCATCATGAACATAAATCTCATTATCAAAGAAGAAGTTTCAACGCAATTTGCGGTAAAATACTATTATATTTCATTCCAAATTCCTATTTATTGTTAAGGTTGACAGTTTGGTTGTCACGCAATGGCCACGAAAATTACCGGAACTATCCCTGTCACACCACTTTATCTGTTTATGTTCAATGAAAATTTCTGTATTCAAAATAAAGTGAATTTCGTATTAAAATATAATTCGTCACCCATAATAGATAAATCCCACTTGCATTGGAATTAATTAAATAAAAGCTCTGGAATAAGCCGCACCTCAGCCATTCATGTTCAGAAATTCGCGTAGAGCATCAAGCAGTCGAGTGTTAATCAAAATTCCATAATTAAAAGATAATTACACACTGACAAAGACGTACGTACAAAATTTTCTAAAGGGAATGTACGAAACAGGAAAATACTTGACACTTGCTGTTGACATTATCTGAGAATAATTTATAAAGTGGTACTACAGTTTGTCAATTTATATTTGAATTTTGCAGTTTTATAAATCGTTTGATTTTCCTAAAAGCCTACTTACTATGCGACACACTAGACATATAATGCCGGGTCCAGACCAAGCAGACAAGACAAAAACATTTATGTTTCGCGACAAAATGGGGACAAATCTGATACATTTCAGCAACATTTTTGTCTTATTTTTGATTTGTTTCCAACTTTGGAGACTTTTGCAAGTACCGTCTCGAGTCGGTAAAAATCAAAGAGTCTCTGTTTTGTCTGCATATTTTACGACAAGTTGTCGGTGCAATGTGGACGTGTATGCTGACAAAAGTAGGAGATCAGTAAATCAGTGGAAAATCACTCATATTTAGTTCTGTTTATTGTGTAGTGTAGTACCTACTAGAGTGTCTCTGCGAAAAATGTCGGGGGGAAAAATGGAACACAGAAAATACCTGCAAATTAATAGAATTGTACAGAGAGCATCCATTATTATGGGACCCTAAAAATAAAGACTACAAAAATCGTTACAAGAAAGCCGATGCACTTAAGGAGATTTGTTTGGCAATAAAGATAAACTCAGTGGATGATTTTGAAAAGAAAATAAGGAATATTAACAGCCAGTATACGAGAGAAAGAAAAAACTATAAGAAAATGAAGAAATCGGGGACAGGTAAACATTTCACTTCCAAATTGTTCGGATATGAATTGCTGAGTTTTTTACGAGACAAAAATAGGCCTCGGAAGAGTCTGCAAGCTGGATGTTCAGGAGAAACACACGTAAGTAAATTATTTATTATTTCTATTTTTATTTTTAAGAATATTGGTACAGTAATCGGTACCTAGAGATACAGTGTATAAGTATATAATCTAACAGTACTGTAATTACCATGGTACTCGGCCTTGGTTTATCATAAAATACTCAACATACTCGTCTCCGATGGCTAATGCCTCCATGGACGCTTTTTGTGGAATTTTCGTAAAACGTAACAAAGAAGCATTAGGTTGAGTATCTCGTCTCCAAGAACCTGGGTCTGTCGTTTCAGTTTCCAAATCTTCCTTATCAAATGTTCCTGGGGGATTGTAACTGTTTCTGGTTGTTGCATTTCTTCTTAAGTAATTATGAAGCAATACGCATGTTAATACTATTTTTCAACCTTCTCTGGCTGCAATAATATTGACTTACGCAGTACATGAAAAATAGCTGCTAGTATACCAAAAAAATTTTCAACTACCCTACGTGCTCTGCTTAACCGATAATTAATCACTCGATTTTTTTTGAGTGTTGTTCTTGATGCCCACTATATGGTTTCATTATAGAAGTTGTCAAGGGTAAGGCATCATCCGCTACAAATACATATGGAACAGGTAATTGCCTACCAAGTAGGTTACAATTTTGTGGGAGATTCAATGAAGACTCCACCATCAATTTATAAAAAGATGTGCTCTTAAATATTTCTTCATCTAAAATACATCCCTGACTGCCTACACTTGCATAAATGAAGTTATAGTTTGCATTGACAATTGCAAACAAAACTATGCTAAAGGTACCTTTATAACTATAGAACTCACTACCGGTATGTATGGGGGCTTCTATAACTACATTCTTGCCATCCATGGTACCAAGGCAGTAAAGAAAATTCCAAATCTTCTCATAATCGTCACTAATCTTTTTCCATTCGGCTTCATTTGTAGGAGTCTGAAAAAAATTACGTGTTTGTAAAGAATTTAACTAGAAAATTTTATTTAATATTTTTTTCTAGGAATCTGACTCATCACTATCTACACTAGATGAAACTGAACCAGATGACACTGATAATATACCAAGTGATAGTCAACAGTAAACCAATATTGAAACAAGAGAATATGGATGCAGAACATTTTGATTTGGTGACTGATATCAAACTTACATTTTCTGTGGTAGCAAAGGAAAAATTTAAAATGAAAGACACTAAAGAAACTTTTGAAAGGGCTAAGATAAACAAGTCTGATATACGAAAGGATATATCACAAAATGTGGAGCGTAGAAATGAAGAAGTCTACAACATAGTGACATCATTAAATAAGGATCGTCAAGAAAGATCACAAAATAAACCAGATAAATTTGACATATTAGGTGAATTGGTAGCTCAAAAACTGAGAGGTCTACCCACACCCTATACCCAGTCCACCGTAGAACATTTAATCCACAATCTATTATATGACGCTATAATGGGCAAGTATAATAGTGAACCCAATCAGCCACCACCATCTCAGGTACGAAACCAACTTGAACAATTTGTTCGCTTTCGGAGTCCATCCTTTGTTGTTTCTTTGCTCTTAAATCCACTCAGCGTCGACACACAACATTTATATTCGAATCCACCTAGCGTCAACATACAACATTCATACTCCGATTCATCCAGCGCCGATATACAACATTTATATTCGAATCCACCCAACGTCAACAGACAGCCTTCATACTCAAATCCACCCAACGTCGACACGCAATATTTATACTCAAATCCACCCAATATCGACACCCAACATTCTCAGTATATATCTGACCAACAACAAGAAGAAAATTGAATTTTTAAATGTAAAAACAAGAAGAAAAATTTATTTTTTATGTATGCGATTTCTTTTGTATTAAAATGAATTTCAAACAGTAAAGATGGCGTTTATTTTAGAGCGTATATTATCACTATCAGAAGAAAAATAATTAAAAAATTTATACGTACCTTTACATAATCACTAAGACTGTTAATTAATGCTTCACATACTTCAGATATTATTAGAGATATTGACTACTTTGATACTTTTGAAAGGCTGTGGTAGGAATCGCCTGTTGACAGAAATCTTAACGTTATTGCCAACCTTTCTGTTACGCTTATAGCATTTCTGTAGTTAGTATGTCTTTTGGCAAGTGCAGGACCAACAAGGTATATCAGATTCTCGAAATCTTCGGTGGACATTCTTAGAAAATTCTTAAAGCTTAAGCGAATCTCACCACTTAGTCCAATGTCGTCTTCACGTAACTGAACTAGCAATTTATTCATGGAAAATCGTTCTCGCTTTTTTAAGCTTGGTCTCATCCAAAAACTTTTGCGTTTAATCTTTCCATCATTGGATGAAGACGACAGAAAGATAAAACAACTAGCTGCTAGCAATAAATCTTGATTTTTTAAATTATCTTCTTGGTGGAAACGCCACATGGTACAACAACTGATTCACAACCAACTGAATTTTGAACCACTTTCAAACCAACTGAATTTTGTTGCATATTATTTGTCTTTGTGGTGTGGACAGCTTGTCTCAATTTTGTCTTGTCTCAATACCTAAAATTTTGTCGCAATTTTGTCGTGTTTTTGTCTTAAAATCGTGTTCACTTTTTGTCTGCTCGGTCTGGACCCGGCATAATAGCTAACTTATAACACAACAAAATGGATAAAATATTTTTTACTTAATTAATTTTATTTAATTATGTAATAGGAGACTGAATCCGACATAATATTTTCTAATGTCGACCACAGCCACATCAATAATCTACATATCATTACTGTTAATTATTTGGTATTTTTAATAAGAAAAACTTGTAAATCCTTTTGAAACTATTATTCTATTAAACTGAAAACTATTATCAAAAATTATTATATAAAATGATAGTATGTAATAAATATATATACAGGGCATAATAATATTTTTAGACATAAATCCCGCCGGTGTTGATATGTTTTGTGAACACAAGTATTGAATTTAAAAATTCTTCAGGCAGGTCGTCTATAAACTCCGTGAGCAGTCCTAATATCGACTATACGTACAAAATTATCTTCTGCCTTGTAGGTTTTGGTTATTATTCCAAGTGGCCATTGCCCTCTGGAAAAATCATTTTCATTTATTAAAACTAAATCTCATTCTCTCAAGTTTTTATCTTCGTCATTCCATTTGCTTCTGGTGATTTGTGTGGCTAAATACTCTTTTAACCAACGTTTCCAAAATATATCTATTAAATATTGAGCTACTGTTTTTTGTAAATGAATTAATCTTCTTTGGAAAAAAAACCTGGTAAAGAATATATTTTTCGAGTCCAGAATTAGGATATCGTTTGGACTAATGCTAATTTTGTCATTTATATCATCAGACACGTGTGTTAAAGATTGACTATTTATTATATATTCACACTTAGCCAACAAAGTTTGAAGAACTTCGTCTGTGAGATGTCTGACACTCATAATCATCGAAAGGGCCCTCTTGAAGCAGCCAATTAGATGGTCTCAACTTCCACCCTTCCATGAAGAACTTGGAGAGTTAAATTTTTAGGTCCTCAGCTACTTTCTCCAGTTGAAGTTCGTCTAAAGCTTCAAGTAGTTCTCTACTTGCACCTTTGAAGTTTCGTTATCGGACATTATTACATTTACTGCGCCCCTTTTTACTAAAAATCTGCGTATAGCCATTATGCAGGAATTTGTACTAAGTGAATGGGCAATTTCTACATGAACAGCTTGCATCGTCAAACAATTGAATAAAACGTCATACCATTTTTCCATTCTTTTACTTACTTTCACTTGAAATGGTCCAAAGCAATCTATTTCC